CCACGGGTTTCTTCTCTCTTCTCTATCTCTATTTAATGATTAGTTACCGTAATTTCAAAGCCAAAATATGTATATGCTTAGAAATGCTTCACTGTGCCTGATATATTCCTGTGCAAAATTCAATGTGCTTTATGTTGCTAGTTTGTGAAGTACATGTTTAGTGTGTGCCTGCAAAGCTATTTGCAGCTTGGGGTTTTTTTTTTTTTTTTTTTTCAGATGGAACAGAGAGATGAAGGGAAATTGGCGTGAATTCAGAGCAGCGCAAAGTGCTCTGCCAGGGTTATAACAGCCATATAGTATCAGGGTGTGCATCTCCCTCAGCTCCATAAAAAAAGAAAAAAACCTTTCTCTGCACAAAGCCTGGGCTGTCACAGTATGCAATTAGCAGTGATATTATTCCCAGGTTGGACATTAGTCACACACCAAAAGCCAGCCTGAAACAGGGAGTCGTAGCATATGTGCATTCTCCTTTATTATACTATCAGAGGAGCAGTTTTATGTCTGAGACTCTGTCACTGCCCATGAGACAGCCACCCTGGGAGTGCTCTGCAGCAGGTATTGTCGACCTGGAGAGATCCCAGGTTGGACAGAGACTGAATAATTAAACAGATGGAGGAGAAGAAGACACCTGGTGGCATCACAGTGAAGGTCAGCAGATGGGTCTGTCACTAATAAAGGGAGCAGATTGCACAGTGAATGTAATGGAGGGGAGTGTTTCGAGATCCAGACAAAAGCAACACTACTCTGTATCGTCATCTGTCACCATCCAGGGATTCAGTTATGCAATCCATGCAGAGATCATTCCCGCTAATGAAATGCAGTAGTGCTTCAGATTTTTATTGGTTGTTTTAATTTGTTTGTTTTAATTTCAGCAGTTTTGCACAGTACGCGTCTGTACCTGATAACCTTTACTGCACAGTATACTGTACATCGCTTTTTATGAGTTACAAAAATGCCCCCGAGGAAAACAGAATATTAGAGTCTAAATAAATGAATTCCACCTCTTTGTAAAGGACTGGCCGACCTCTGTAGCAGCATATATATATATATATATATATATACCCAGTTTGGTTCTATAACCATTTGACCCCTGAGATGCAGCTTAAGGTTATATTAGACAAAAAGTAGACCCACTGACCCTGTGGTGTGTGAGTGGAAAGGAAATATCTGTCCTCAGTCAAAGAGGAGAGGGCCATAGGGCAGGAGAGAAAGGGAGAGAGCAGACTTGAAAATGCAAACCATCCTTCACTTTTTGCTCCCAGACATCTCCCATTGTTTCCAATGTAATATAAAGACTTTCCTTCCTCGAACCCGGTCAGAGACTAACTTTCATGCTTGCATTTGTCGTATCCTTTTAAGAACCAATGAGGCAGCAGCTCATGCTGGAATTGGCCAGCCGACTTCAAGACTATTTAAAACCACTTTCCACTGAATTAGATGCTATTTCTCCAAGGTGCCAATTATGATTTCGACAACTCTAAGAAAGTGGAGGGGAATTAAGGGAGTGCTGGCAATAAGGCACTGCGGGTGCAGGAATTAATTCCCACATTTCTTAGTTTAATAATCAGTCACGTGGACGAAGGAGCTGCTAAAATATCTCCAGGGATCTGACCGAGAGGGAACATACACTCCTAATATATTCTTTTAAATTGGAGTTCAGCAGCCAGCCACGTTTTAGAGGTCAAACCTCCTTCACTCTCAGCCTGTAATGGAAACATTTATCAGTATCTCAGCCAAACAAAACACTCTTTCACACATTTATACAACCAAAAAGAGTTTGCAGATTTGATTGCTGAACACGTACATCACCTGAGTGATGCTAATTCAGCATTTACTGATTTTCCCTGTACTGCCTTACTTATTAATTAAATTATGCATAACCAAGTACTACAAGTTTAATGCACTAATTAATAAACAAACAATGCATTGTAAGGGATGAACAGACCGAAAGCTATTAAACTGATATTTTTCCTTTACCTCCCCCCAGATGAAATTGAATTTCATTTCTTGTAGTATTGTTTGTTCTGCAACTAATAATGCACTCTGGGCTCCAAGTGATAAAATATTAAATACTTTGGTGACAAGAGCAGATTATTGCGCTCCAAGATTTAATGAAGGTGGTGAGATCAAGAGGAATAAGAAAAGTGGTGTTAGGCATTTTCAGATGGTCCTAATGATCACAAAAGTGCTGCAGTCTGAAACAAGGTTGATATATGAAATGTGTGGATGAAAAGTAGCTCGATCTAATTACTTTTGTCCTACTTCCAATGAGCTTCATCTTCATCAACGAACTTTCTCCACATCAGCTTTCGGGATAATGATCTTCTCTTATCCCACTGAGATTTGTAGAAAGAAGGAGTTACCTTTTGAAATAGGCTGCGTTACTTCAGTGAAAGCAGACGGATTATCTTAATACCCATCCTGCGGTACTGTTGTGTGTTCTCTGGCCATGTGCACAGTAAGACGGTGGATTAATTTGTACTGGTGTATAAGTCTGTATACTCATAATTTCTTCTTGGAACAGACATGTTCTGCGAAAACAAAGTGAGGTTGAGCAACTCAAATGCGGCCTTGCTTTCTCTGGCAACATTGCAGAAAAGTGAAACGGGATGTCGTGTTTTCCTTTTTCCGTGTGGCGCGCTCTCCTCCGCAGTCAGAGCCGGGATGAGGTGACGGACAAGCTAATTGTCTGAGGGTAATGGATGCCAGACACTAACAGGTGGATACAAAGAGGCAGTTAGTCATGGATGGCTTAGTTATCTCCAATGATAATTACACTGACAATGTTCCAACTGTAGTCAGGTCAGCCTAAGGCTAATACCCAACGAAGCTGCATCTATTATCCCCCACGTATCCCTGTGACAGAAGAGTCTGTGTCCAGGAATGCAGAATTACGTGTACATGAATGATGTCCTGTTGCTTGGATTCAGTCATGAAATCTCATCTATATTCATTGAAATCCCGCTGTCCCCCAAAGGCACGAGGCTTCTTCTGAACTGCAAGTTGTTATTTATTGACACGGCTCGAAACCAGGAACCAGAAACAAGACATATTTATTGGATTTTGCATTATACTGATGTGCTAATGAGATAGTTGAAACCATGATGTGGAAAATGTCTCTCATGTAAAATATTGACTGAAGTGACTGATAGCGGTACTGTCCTATGACAAGATCGGTTTCATTAGGTCTTGTACAGTGAAAGAAGGAAATACTGTCAGGGAAACTGTCAGAATTTCCCTCCATCACCCAGAAAGAAACATAAAATCCAGTCTGGAAGAGGCGAAGAATAAAAATGACGTGAATAATATTGATGCTGATTGCAGATCTTATCTTGAATGAGCCAATCAGTGAGTGTCTGGCTGCTTGAAAAGGTGTTGGATGATGATCAGCGTCAGGGAACTGGATAGCTCCTCCACAGAGAGTAATGTGAGGATTTAGAGGCTGTTGTGGGTATCCTGACGTGCAATAGTGGTTCAGACTGAGGGAAACTGAATGGGAACTGAATGAGTTGTGACTTACATAACCATGCTGCTGCACGAAAACTGGATCAGAGTGAAACGCAACAATATGGCACACGTGGAGCGCGCTTTGGCCTGAAGCGACTCCAGGATGTTGCCATTGATGCTGAATGAGCTTTGAATCTAATCTAGCCCACGGATGCATACTGATGGACCTGTTCAATGTATTGATAGTACCGTGTTGCTGTGAGTGGTGAAATAAATCCTCATACAGCATGTAGTGTGCGTCGTGGCTTGCTGCTTTCTGCCCTTAGGCCAGAGTCACCAAAGCTAAAACAGCTAGACTCCTCACCATCACGCTGCAGTACTACCTAACTGTGACAGAGCTGATTATGTCTTGAATGGCACACTTTGCTTTGTGTTGTTATGCGCGTATGAAGAGAGTTGGATATTGTGTTCCATGGGGAGCCCATTCATTCCTATATAAATGGTGGAGAGCGTTCTACAGACTTTTATATTTTCTGTCGTATATGCATTGGAATTATATGCAATCAGCGATTATTTTAAATATCGAATAATCTGCCTGTTATTTTCTTGATTAATCAATTAATTAGTAAGATCTAAGACAATAATGAAAAATGTCCCTCACAATTTCCCAGATCCCGTTTTTGTCTGCCCACCATACATCCAGTTTATTGTCCTGCAAGACAAAGAAGAGCACAAAATCCTCACATTTCTCACAATGGATTATCAAAGTAGTTGCCAATTATTTTTTTGTAAATCAATCAATGAATTGTCTGAGCTGTAAATACAGTCCCTCTCTGTTACTGGTTGACTCCCAACACACATGAAAGAAGGAAATGATGTAATGATTCAGCTCTTTGAGAATTTTGAATGTTTCATTGAACCTGTCATTTTCTTCACTGTGATGCTGCTGTTTCTTTTCTAATCCTTGTTTTTTGGGGAAAAAAGTCTTTCTGTGCTCACGCCTGTCACATGACACAATCTGGCGTTGTCTTGCAGTCAGAATGCCTCATTTTAAAATGAACAGTTGTTAACATTTTTACTGTTTCGTCCCGAACAACCTCATTTACTTGAACGAAAAAATCTGGCATGTGGTTATCTTTTTTGTGTGTGTGTGTGTGTGTGTGTGTGTGTGTGTTAGCGTTACAGTTCAAACATTTTCTCGTAGTAGAATAAACGTGGAGGGGTTGTGTGGCTTGTTTTTAAAGGTAGTGCCCATGTTTTCACTGGAACCTCTGCCTCTGTGTCCTCTGTGTCCTTTCACTGAGCTTAAACGTGCTTATTGTTCTGCTCACGTGGAAAAACTCAAGGACAGTGTGGTTTATGTGAAGTTAAGTGTGGCTGTGAATCACCATGCGTTCCTTTTGTAGCTCTTTGCATATGGGATTTCTTTTAATTAAACTACAATGGAACTGCCTGTTAACCTGCCGTCTTAAAATTCAGTGAAATGAATCAGACTAAATATGGACACATGCTTGAATATGGTTTTGATGTGTAACTGTTTCCTTCTCCCACAGGAACCTCTTGGACCGAGACACTTTCACCAAATCTGACCCATGTAAGTTTTTTACGAAGATAATTGCAGTTTAGTGTCTCCTTGCTCAGAATGCGGTTGGTTGACACCTCCTCTGCTTTTGTGAAGCTTTACTTTTTAACTTTTGCTGAGCTTAACTTTGATTCAGTTTACTCTGCTATTTCAAAGTGTTCCTTCAATAACTGCATATCATTTGCACAGTAATGTGACAACCTTTCCTCACTGAGAGCCACAGAAAGTACCTTAATGCATGCAGGGTATAAACGCCAGCCTTTGAATACAAATGGCTTGGTTTTGGTGAGACACCAAGGGAACAGCCATAAAGGCATTTTCTTTGATACTCCCTGCAGGATAGAGAATGAAGGGGGCATTTAACATAATAGGGAGGAGGTTCAAGCCCTTTGTGTACAAAAGCTACTGGGAAAATATCACACTTGCCCTGTTTTGTATTCGCCCGAAGATGAACCTTGGGATATATGACAGGTCACGTAGCGTTCGCCCGCCTCTGCTTCATTTGAAGTCGCAAAATCAAATTGGAATCAGGAGAATCCCACCGTTAAGAAATTGTGTTTTGATTGCATGGCTTAAATTGTGCTCCAGGAGATTTCAATCTTGCTTCAGAACCCAGAATTTGATGCAGTGCAGCATCGTCAAAGCTTGGCACTTGATTATGCTGTCAGGGTGTGGCAGGATAATTAATGACGAATGTTGTCAAAGGGGGAACAAAACAAACACTATTAGAAGGAGTGGGCTGCTTGATTGAGCTTGTTTAGTGACAATGTATTCCTCTGCTCTCCTTCTCTTTTTCTCTTTACCTCCACCCCCACCTCCTCTCTTCTCAGTGGTTGTCTTGTACACCCAGGGCGTGGAGTCCAAACAGTGGAGAGAGGTAAGAGATCACAGCCGTCCCTCTGTCAACACAACTCAATCAGCCTGTCTCCTCGCCACAAGAGCCTGCTCTCTGTTTACAGCCCCCCCACAGACAGAGAGACACACACACACACACACACACACACACACACACACACACACACACACACTCTGAGGGTAAATGCTGTGAGTGTCAATCATTTGCAATTGATTGACCTCGCTGAATATCCAAGTGCTGGTCAGCACTGTGTTGGCTATGACTGATTGGCTGATTAAGGTGACAGCTACACGTATCGATAAAGATTTGCCTCTGCGTCAGAGTCCCCTCCGGCTGTTGGCCACTGGGCCTTAATTAGACCAGAGAGGCAGGTAGTGGAGGAAGGCAGAGATTACAGAGACACAGGGTCCTTCTGGGATTATTATTTGTTCCTGTGATCTCAAAGGATGTTCATACACAGAAATGACAATTTAAATTACATCTCAATGGGGAATACTTCATTTAAGATTTTTTTTTTTTTACACTCTCGGTGTAACAATTCTCTGTGAACATGAAACAAAAGCTAAACGCCAGCCAAGTCAGCCATAACAACAGAAAACAACAACGCAATCAATACTGTATATACATGCTTCCTAACGGGAAGAGAGACACTTTGCAAGCTCAGAGTGTTTTGCTTCTGCTTTCACACTCAAATACTTTTTGATTGATGTTTATTGACTCCACAAAGAGCTTGGTGTCACGCTGGTGGCACAGTGGAGTGTCACAACAGATTTCCAACATACAAAATGAAGATTTCAGTGATAATGTTGTGTTTTCGTGGGTGTGGGCGCTTAAAAATAGAGGACGGTTTAGAACAGGTTTTAGTTGATAACATAGATTTCGACATACAGTACAACAATAGAGAAATAGACTTATTTTCTTTCTTGCTGAGAGGTAGATGATAAGATTCATATCTTGCGGTAAATATGAAGCTACAGCCAGGAGACCATGACTTTAGCTTAGCATAGAGACTGAAGACAGGGATGAAACAGTGAGCCTGGTTCTGTCTAAAGCTAAAAAAAAAAAAAAAATGTGACAACCGGCACCTCGGAAGGTCATGTATTAACTCGTTATATTGTTTGTTTCTTCATACGTAAACCAAAGTGTCAAAACATCCAATCACGCTTTTATCTGGCTTGATATTTGTTGTCCAGGAGCAGTAACTTCCTGGAGTCTCTGCTGGTTATCTGGTCCAGTTACTCCTGAGTGGTATCACTCGTCTCATCTTATTGTTGGCAAAGGAGAGTGATAAACTGTATTTCCCCAAATGTCAAACTATTTCTTTAACCCTCAAACAATCCTCTGAAGAGGTGAAGACGGGCCAAGGCGTCGAACAAGTGATCCTCACAAAGATACAGCAGCAGCAGCAGCAGCAGCAGCAGCAGCAAACACTCACATGTAAATGAAAGTCATGACAGTGCTGCTAACTTCTACCCTCTGCAATTCATCTTGAGAAGTGTTGTCCACTTAACCATTTTCTCACTTTATCTCCAGCTCTGTTGGTCTGTATCGTAGTGACTTGTGTGTGTTATGTTGCCTCGTGTGTGTAATGTGTGTGTGATTGTTGTTTCTTCTAACCTGACGGTGTAATACATTTCACAGCAGGGACAATTAAGAAGAATGATTGATTGATTGATGGAGAGATTAGTTGGATGTTTGATTGATTAATTGATCTGCTGTTTAACCGAGTGAGTAGAGTGTTTCATTGCCTTACCTAAAAGGAAATCTTTCTGCAGCGTTAATCACCCAGAGCAAATAATACTTGAGCTTTGAGTCTGATTATAATGTTTGCTCACATGTCTTTCAAGGGCGGTCAGCTCACACGATAAACAAATAAATCTCGGTGCTGTCGCAACACACTGATGTTCTTTTCTAAAGCCAAAGAGTAGTTTTACTGATTAACATGCAAATGCGGACAAGCATCAAGTGCAGCGTTGACGGGAGAAGAGCCTCCTACACCTGTCACCTCTGGTTACACTGCCCCACCTCGAGCTTACAAACTGTGGGTGCAGCCTGAGCGTGTCTCCCTGGAAGAGATAAAGGCCTGTGTTGCTGTTGCAGGGGACAGCTGGCTTTGTGAGCGTCACAGTCAAGCTGTGCAGTATTGATAAAGCTAAACGCCTCTTTTGCCCCTGCCCTTGTCATGAAATTAGTTTTTGTTCTTCCCAGAGTAGATAAGGTGGGTCAGAGCACCTTACATTGTGACACCAACCTTCTGTAAATCCAGTTACAAACTGTGAGTCGCTCACATTTCACCATCAAGAGAAGAATGTGATGATAATGTAATAATAATAATAATAAACTTAATTTGTATGGCACCTTTCATACATAATTGCAGCTCAAATGCTTTACAGAAGAAAAGAAAGAAAAGAAAACACAGGTAATAGCAGCGGACATAAGGGGCAATATTAGAAATAAAAGGGCAATAAAACAATATAAAAAACAGTTTTGAAAAACCATAAAAAGGTATAAAAGGAATAAAATGAATAAAAAATGTACCAAGTAAAAGCAAAGTCTATTTAATTGAAAGCAAGATCATAAAAACAGGTTTTGAGCTGAAATGAAGACAAATGTTACGGTGAAATATTTTTGATTCCAGGGGGATGTCACGATCAGCTCCTCTTTAGACCTCTGCCCTTGTGACAAAATTTTATCACCATATGTGATCGATTATATAAAACTGAAGCTGTAACCCATCATTCTTAGCACGTGGCTTTAAAGTCTTAATCTTCAACTCCCTTGTCTGTAATTACTCCTACTGTATGTCAGGTTTTTCTCTGTCTACCACTTTCGCTCAACCGAGCAGCTGACACAATATAACCTCCCCAAATTCAAGCAAAGCCAGGCCTTTCCACGTCAAGTCAAACTCCCAGACGTTAATCTTTCACCCTGATGAATTTTCTGACATTCCAGCTCACAATTTATTCTGGTTAGGGTTATTGGAGGGGAAGAAGTGAACACTGCCAGCGCCCAGATTTCCCCTTACCCCAGTTTTTTTTTTTTTTTTCTGTTGACAGATAATTGTGCTTTCACAACTCTGGCTTTTCAGGCTGACTGTGTACTTGCCAAGGTAGGAATAATATGTGGAGTGGGAGATCTGTTATTTCCTCGGGTGGCTGTTCTTTGTTCTGGTGCTGATTCGTCTTCCTTTGTTAAGTTTGGCCTGAGACCAAAGTGAATATGCTATTGGCCTCCTGCTGCCACATTCAGCCCCTCTCACTTTGCTCAGTGGAGTTTTCACCTCCTTTGCATCTGCAGGAACGCAGCGTGAGAAGAGGTTGTGCCACGCAGTAGTTAAACTTTTGTAGGCTTAGACGCAGGTTTATTTTTGATGGCAGGTTACATCTTGGCAAACCCACTGTCATGTGTTAGGCACAACCCCCCCCCGTTTAAGTCTGACTTTGAGTTTTACCCCCAATGGATGTAATCACAAAGGTGTGAGTCTGTAATCCTGCTGTTTCATCTCTTCATTAAGCCCTAACCCTGCTATTATTAATTCACTCTGTCAGTTTATGGTAACACGTTGTACTGGGGATTTTTTATTTATGCGGCTCAACATCAGTTCCCTGACTCTGAATTATTCATTTAAGATACAATTAGTGTGTGTGTGTGTGTGTGTGTGTGTGCAGGGGGGGGGGGGGTGCAACACTTTGTGTGTGTGTTGATTTGTTTATCAGCCCCTCACCTCATCAGAAGGTCTTGCTCTGTAACACTGACAAATCCTTTTTGGGTGTCTGTGCTGGCAGGTTCCCATTTTCCTGTTAACACCAGGGAACAGCAGATGGTTTGCCGACGGTTCTCCTGTGTAAAGACAAAACGTGAAAGTGACAATTTTTCTTTGCATTTGTCCCGCCGCCCCATCTTACGTCCATTGTTTTTGAAGAGGCTGTGAGAGTGACATTGGTGTGAATGTGCTATAAATTAAATGAGTGTAATTGGTCTCAATAAAGTGCTTTCCTCAGGCTCGCTCATCCCCATCACAATGAGAAGAGGTGGAGAAGAAGAGCTGACACTGTGTGATCATTGACTTCTGTTAATCAAATCTGAGTTTATCTGAAGCCGTGGATTCATGCGGCTGTCGGGAGAAGACAGAGGGGGTGGGGTGAGGTAATAGAGCAGTGAATGTAGTTTCTGAGCGACTGCATGATGTGTTGCCTCAAAGCTCTGTTCTCTCATCTCCCTCATCTTCCCTCCCCTTCTCTCCTGGTTCTGATTTAGTTTGGCAGAACAGAGGTGATCGACAACACACTAAATCCAGACTTTGTCAGGAAGTACATCCTGGACTACTTCTTTGAGGAGAAGCAGAACCTGCGCTTTGACGTGTGAGTTATTTCGTTTGATCCGGTCCTCCTGAGGACACACACCGAGTGTGTGTGTTTCAGATGTGCCGCCCTCTTCTAACCCAGTCCTCCAGTTCCTCCTTTTGTTTCCACCACCAGCTTAACATCGTCTTCCACATTCACTCTGCCTCTTCCCCCATCTATCTCTTCATCCCTTCTGTCTCTCATTTTCTCTCCTTGAGTCATTTTCCTTCTCTCTTCTCTGACTCCTCTCCTGAGGAATTATTCATCGGTGCAGTGTCTCAATAGTCATTCGTTGAAAGGAGATTGGTATAAGGGTGATAAATATTTCATATAAAGTTTTATCCTTAATCTCCCTGTTGCTAAGCAAAGCAAACGTCTGAAACCAATTCCCTTTAAACTCGCAGAGACCCATGTCCTCCCCCCTTTCACATACAGCTGCCTTTCTCCTCTCGAAAAGGCCAGACTAGTGAGAGGGTCAGAAAGGTGCGGTTTCATTTTGAGATCTCCCAGAACAGAGTCCGGATCATTTTCTCCTCCCCCCTCCTCCACAAGGAGAAGAGATATGCTTCCAAAAATCCGTACTTTTTTTTTTTTTCTCCCTTCGAGCATGAAGTCCCCGGTGGACTTCCAGGATGTATCCAGGACTGCTCTGCAAGTCTCGGAGGATTTTTAGTCACTTAATGAATTCATTAGGCGTGCTATCATGATATGACTCTGGAACAGGAAAGGAGGGAGTGCATCCCCTCACAATTAGTGTTACTCATTTACATCTCTCTTTTATCACAGAGGTGGGAGCCAGGGCATACTGAGGTTTAATTACTTTTACATTACGTTTGACTGACAGATGCTTCAAACTTTCTATGCATCGGTAGATTGTTTCAATACGATCCCACTGGTGTGGAACTGAAATTACGTTCATAAACCATACAATGACTTCCTTAATTAACTGTCACATTTATTGCTTACACCCCCCCACCCCCACCCCCCCTCAGCCGCTCCCTTTTGCTTCCCCAATGACCCAGGTGTGTGATTGACAGGCAGAAAATTTCCACACTGCAGCCAGTATCCTTTTATTAGGGTCAGTAGCAATGTGTAAGGTCCTCTGTCTCCTTGCCCACACCTTTGCCCTTGTGATGTGTGGTCTCTGTGATTTCAGGTATGATATTGACTCTAAAAGCCCAGATCTGGCAAAGCATGTAAGTGAAGATCTTTTCTATTTTTCTGGATCAGGACCTCAACTTTATATTCTGTCCTTAAATTAGTGCATGTCTCTTAATATTCAGGTTCTGTGCAAACCAAAGTAAACGCTCAAATATATTTTGGAATAATGAGTGAATTATGCTTCATCTGCCCAAAAAAAAAAAAAAAGCTTATTTTTCTTTACCTTCTACCATCTGCTTCAGTTCGTAAAATGAAGTGCGTTATTCCTCCAGAGCTATAATAATTAAAATTACATTGGCATCTGGCAAATCCTCATTACATTTTTCTTTTAAATGAGAAATGAAGCATTGCACATCATTATCAAAGCTTTTCCACACATTTCCCTGTGTGCTCTTTAGTGTTGTTTGCAATTTAAACTTTCATTTCCAAGACAGCATATAGTTATTCAAAACAATGCATTGCATTTTAAAGTGGAGGCTTTTCCTGAAAGAGACAGGGCTGTATTATATAGAAACATACATTCAGGTAAACAGGTGAATGTATGTTAGTGTCATCGTTTATGCCAAAAGCTTTGATAAATAAACTGCTACTCTCTGCTATACAGATACATAAAGAATATATTTGCAGCTCTTGGTTTGCATACTACCAAAATTTTCATCATTAATCATGCTTCTGTCACTGTGATGCTTCTATTGCTATGTTTTGACATTGTGCTCCATGCTCTGGAAACAAACTGTTCCTCCTGTGAAACTTTCAGCCTTCGTTGCTTTTCTTCTCTTGAGTTCCTTCACTTTCCTTTTCTCTTCCTCTGAGACTCTGTGACTCTTTACCCTCTGCTGTTCTGCCTATCTACACTCTCACATATCCACTTCTGCTCTTCTTTGTTGCACTTGGTTGATGACAGTCTGGTATTTTGAGTCATGTGCTTTCTGTTCCATGATATGCTCTGTTGTGTCACTGCTGCTGCCTGGTCTCTCTCTTTTCCTCCTCCTTCTCCACCCTGGAAGCCAACCGACTTTAACGTACGTGTCTGCCTTAGACGTCCTAATTTATAACCGTACAATGCTTATACGATGCTTAACTCCTCACCGACTCTCCTTCTTACCCCCGCAATCCATCTGAACACCCCCATCCTTTGCCCCAACATGCGTCTCTCTCTCTCCATCCCACTTTATGCTCCCCCACACGGCAGGACTTCCTGGGACAGGTCCACTGTACATTGGGAGAGATTGTGGGCTCACCTGCCAGTCGCCTGGAGAAACCTTTGGGGTAAGTGCTCATTTTTCTGTACGGACACTGATTTTGCAGAATCATGTGGGAAGAATAAGAGCCACTCAGAGCTAAGAAGAGATTTTTGCTTTACTTATCATCTCAATGAGACAAGTAGAACATTTTAACTTTGCAAACACGACTTTTCAGATATTATCAGATAATGAAAACTCAGCGCCACCTCTCAGCCTATTCAAATGTGACTCGGCTCTCCTGCAGGATTTCACGCATTCCGGCAAAGATGAGGCAGTGATGAATATATCTGCATCCTAGAGCCATCGGTATCGGACAATGCACTGCGAGATTAGACCTGTGTGCGTGGAGCGATGATGTGCAATTGAACACAACCGGGGGGGGGGGGGGGGGGGGGGGGGGGGCTTCCTCATTGTAATTACTGTCATTAGGGAGGTGATCTAGCACGGAGAGTGGAGAGCATGAGACAGACGTGATGGACAAAAGTATTGATTGTGCAGCTTCAGTGAGGCACTTTGATCACTGCTGAAACTCGACACCGATGCAACACCAAATTTAGCTGCAACACAGGGTGATGTGATGATGTGGTTGTTGGTTTTTACAGTTTACAAACTGAAGAAATGAGCCCTTATGAAAACATTCTCTTGTGTTGCTATTAACTGTGCCAGCAGCTTTCATGTCCGGGAGTAGCAATTCAGAGACAGGAAAAATATAGGGTGCTTTTGATTTTCAGTTCCTGACGACATGCAGGTAAGGTTACAGATTTATTCATCCCTGTTCCTCTGAGGCAGCTGCAGCCGGAGGCGTTATGTTTTCAGGGTGTCCGTAACATTCTCGTGTTCGCGATACCTGAACACCTGGAGGGAATTTCTTTAAATTTTGAACAATCTTTCCTTGGGACTCCAGGATGAACTGATTAGAACTTGGAGGTTAAAGGTCAAAGGCCACTGTGATGTCACAAAACATGTTTTTTGAGGTGAAGAATTAATATGCTAATTATGTCAAAACTTTGCACAATGTCTAATGGGATAAAATTATGAAGTGATGACCTTTTATATCCTAAAGGTCAAAGGTCAGCTGCAACCGCACCACATATATCATATGAGTCTGGACAGAGTCTGGGTGTAAACTGCGGCTTGACTGGTGGCTGGAGACATACAACTGCAAGGATTCAAGTTGAATAGCTAAACAGTATCCACAGAGTTTTCTTCCCCTCCTGCGATAGGCGACGGCTCAGGAGTTGTTTAATGGCTATGTGCTCCATTTCCTTCTCATGCATCCTGATGTGACGGTGCCTCTCTGGACTGCAGCTTTGAGGAATGGCTTCCACAGGGACTGAGAAAATCTGTTAGCCATGCTTAAACAAGCCCTCCCAAGGCACACTGCATCCAATGACCTGCTTAAGAAGCACATCAGCACCCCTTTTCCTATTTTTCACACTTCATCTCTCATTTATTCTCTCTCCTTCCGTCCACCAGATTCTTTTTTTTTTTCTGGTTTGACCCCCTTTCTCCTCATTCTGATTTCTATTTCTTTTTGTTCCCCCAAACCTCTCACTCGCTCTCTTTCAGCCTTCCTTTGGCTCCCTCCTCCATCCAAAAAACAACAACCCACCACACCAAACCACACCAAACACACCACACCCCCAACCACACAAACACAAACCACAAACCAACCCAAACACCACCCCCAACCACAAACAAACACACAGAGAGTTTGAACTAATTTCAGAGAGTAAATATGTCTCCTCCAAAATACGTTCGTACAGTATATCATGGATCATGTTTTAAGTGTGATGTCGTTATACTGCACTGAAATCATAGGGAGAAGTTTGGACTTGCTGGAGAACAGGGTTCATGTCCACCATGACGCGTTGGTTATCTAAAGATGTTTAGATACTGAACCTGTCTCCATGTTCCAGTGCTGCTTCTAGTCATCCAGGACTTTTCCAATACTTAATCAAGACTGCAACCTTTCCCTTACCCTTAACCCTTAACCAAGCGCTTGTGTTGCCCAAACATAACCCTAAAAACATAAATCATGCTGTAGTTGCTAGGAGACAAAGAAAGCATGTTATTTTTGCATTGGCAATCCGAGCGGCGTTACGTTACGCCGTCAAAATGTGTGTGCTAGTGCAAACTCGTTGTATATGAATGTAAGATTTAGGGAACTAGGTTGACATTAACCATAACTGCCACACACTTAATCCCAAAAATCTAACTCGGTACTAAAATTTTTTAACCCCCAAAATAAATGATTTACTTTGTGAGGACTGAATTTTGGGGTATTCCTCATATTGTGGGATTCCTTGCACACACACAGTGTGATTAATGCGTTGCGCATACACACATAAACACACGCCTTTTCCCTTCATATAAGCATAAACATAACCTGCAGCTCACACTTGGAACAATAATTTACCTCAATCATTCCTGAATTTGTGCACACTGCGCACTTGGGGACAAACGTAATCTTCTGTAATCACCTCTGAGCAGATTTCCACAGACTTATTTTTCTCGGGGATAATAACAGGTCAGGTAAAATGTATGGCTTTTCCCACATGACTTTATTAAGATGGAAACGTGTGCCAGTGGAAGGAATATAAGCTATGGAGCACCGAACTGACACAGCGGTACAAATCCTTCCTGTTTATAATGTGGTTTAATGAGAGGCATGTATCAAAGTTATTGCTAGCTGAGGAAATGCATAGCTAAATGATTGACTGATGTAGGTGAATGACATCTTTAAGTGAAAAACGTGTTAGCTGTCATGCAGCTCTCATGGCTGTGATCATGTGTATAGCCTGTGGGAAGGAATCATTATGTGGCTGTATAGGTAACATGATAATGGAATTCATAATACAAAATAGAAGTAACCTTTTCTGTTGATGTGGTGAATTATACCACACACTAGAGCATATGAATGCAGCACAACATTAGCATGTTAAACCCATTAGCCTACTGTGACTGTGCCCTCGCGCTGCATGATTGAAGCAGGAAATGAACTGTAAGCAAAACCACAATGACTGTTGTGGGTGTGTTGGCTGCACCCGTGGGAGCCAAGGGAGGAAACAGATTCGTAGAAATGTAGAAAATAATATGTATAAAAAAAAAAAAAAAGAATAAAGAGCCGTAGCTCACATCAAAGGCTCACCTGAACTGTATCCCACCTGTGGGAACCAAACCATCATCAAAAGGGATGATCTTGTATTTCGGTTGTGTCTGCAACGCTGCATATATAGTGGTAACTGAGTAGGAAGTTTAAGAAAAATGTTTAGACAATAGCAAGGTACAGTGAGTGACAAGTGTGCGTCATGTGTCTTCACTTTATTAGCTCACAGAAGAGATCAGCTCGTCTCCGCGCTTACGCCCATAAAATGAGCTGATGGTAATTTTCTTAGTCTGATACATTAAGCCTATTCACTACTCCATTTATATGAAGATGAAGTTAAAAGTTAAATTTCATATGTAATATACTTTGGACGCTGAGATACCATGGCAGTTTAATGTAATATTGATTTTATGCCTTTGGTTCTGTTATCAGTGTGGCAGCGTATATCTCTGTATTTGCTTTTAGCTTTCACCATAAACTGCTGAAATGTGTCTTGGCAGCTCTACAGAGGCTCCACCACACGGGTACTCTGAATGCACATACACTTCAAAGTCAAAGGCCAAGCAGAAACGTGATTTAAGTGAGCCCACTGGTGGAATTCAAAAATGAAATGATAAAAACAGGGAAGATGAAAGTGTAGTTAAACTGTTAAAGTTTCTCTTGAATTCTCGTTTGTTTTGATGAAGGCACAATTTGATTCAAACTTTCTTGTATTTTTTTTTTAAACAGAGCTTTGCTGTAAATCATTCACATCACGTCATCAGCGTGTCACAGGCCACATTAGTGTCCAACCTGCTCTCTGATGACAATAATTTCACCTGCTTTGAATAATTGCCTTCAAGAAATGTTTTCGCTTGGTCCACCTCTTTTTGTCCTGCTGCTTGATTCATGTTAAAATGGCCCAGCATCGATAAAGCAGCAGAAAGTCCAGAGAGAAACATAAACTTCTGAAACATCACACTGTTGATGCAGATCGGAGCTTAAAATGGCTCCAGACTGGGTCTGTCACATTCAGCCGTATGTGACGGGGCCTCAGGGAACATAGAGTCAGAACAATCAGCATTGAGTTTTTAAGATTAAGCTTTGATTGACACATTGGCTGATGCACATGTTAAATGATGACTGCTCACACCGGTGCAGTGAGTGATGAATGGTAACGTTTTTTACATTGAAGTTTGGCTCTGCTTTCATCAAATCAACCTTACTTTAATTCATCTCTTTACCAAGTCACACTTTAAGACAACTGAAAACTCTTTTCAGCTCTGAAACACAAGTTTGCAACAAATTCAATCAATGTTGTTATTAAAGTATAGATGCGAAATATTTTATTATACTCCCCCATCCCCGTGTTTTCCCACTGAGGACTACACATCATTTCAACATTTTATCTGCTCTCGTTTATCTCTACGGATCTTTTTTGCTCCCTATAATCGAGTTTTAGATTAGGAATTAAATACAGCAACACCCGTATGATGTAATACAATCCACAACAACAGCATTGCAGTAAAAACTGTGTTAAATGTTTGATATTTGTTCAGAAAGGGAGGTGCTGATTCAATTCTTTGGTTATCTGAGCTGCAGTTTCTGGTGTCTGCTAGTTTGCATTTTAAAAGTTTAGGTTGGAATCGCTTACGGCACAGCTTACTACTGTATTACATACAGTACTATATAGCTGATCAGAATTCAGTATTATACTATAAATCCTCACTTTGTGGAGCAATATAATCACTGACTCAGATAATTCCTCTTACAATGTTTAAGAGGAAACATTTCACTGAAATGAGTTTGTAATTGACCGCTGGCTAAGCCCCACACGCCCTCAGTTAATTTAGAGGAGGTAGACAAAAGCAGCCTGTTGTTATAGCAACTGTCAATTTTGTTGATTGAAATCACAGCTGTTGTTAGCTAGTTAATTA